TATGATTACCGATTCACACCAGTCAGTTGTAACCTCTTTCTTTTCCCACACTGAGCCCAGGAGCTTTGCTAACTCCAAAACCAAGGGTGGACCTCCACCCTTAAAAACGGATGGGGACAGCCCGTCTGGGGCCGGAAGCGTTATGCCGTTTGAGGTGACTTATTTCCCGGGTAACCTCCATTTCAGATGGAGGACTGATGTCAACTGGAAATATTTGCACAGTTGAACCGGGTGTGGGGGTGGGGGAGAGGTCTTGTGTCGAAGGGAACCAGCTGAACTGTGCCTTAGAATGTTCTGCCCATCGATCTAGACGGCATTGCTGAGTATGAATCAGTGTGCCGTCGAACTCCTTAATTACCTCGCTTACGCCTGGTTTCTTTGGACCTGTACTTATAATTAATTGGAAAAGATTGCGACTACCGATAACCGCAGCCTTCTGCATCTCTCTACATTTCCCTACCCGCCACTTCTCGCGGTCATTCCTCAATCTCTTGGTGAACCAGCGTTTAAGGGATTTGCGCGTTTTGTCGTATTTTGAATCCGATTGAATAGCTCCACGAGCATCCAGCAGGGCAACCGAGGTCGGGATACCGATAGTTTTTTATTTGATCGTGCGGCAGAACTTGCCGTTGTTTTTATGGACGGTTGGATCGCTTCTCCGATTGTCGATCAGTGTTCACTGAGTCCTCCGGATGATGATTAAACTGAGAGACGATCTGATAGTTCCGCCTCGAAGGCCGATTTGCAACTGTCGGTGATGCTGTGTTGTGAACATCTGCTTCGGCGGCTTTTATGCAGTTATTTATCAGGCATTCGGAGATTCTGCACGAAGCTGATCATGGTCCATGTCCACGGATATTGACCAGCAGGAGCGGCGCAGTCTTTAATGGATCCTCTCCAGCGGTAGCTGACTGCGATGTGGTCGATTTGAGTCCAGCACTGTGAAGAAGTTGGCGGTGGCGTTTTTTATGCGAGAAGTTCGTGCTTGATAGAAACAGTCCATGGTCAGCTCACAGTTAGAGTAGACGTTCTCCGTTGTCAGTCCTGTTGGCTGGGATTGCATGGGAACCACCAAGTAACTATCTGATTCGACCAGGGATACTTGAGCATTGAAGTCTCCAGCGACTACCACAATGTCCGTTGACCGAGCACCCTGGCGGTATTCCGCCCACATGCAAATCATGGAAGCTTTTTCTTTTTATAAAGATTATTGTACCGTGATTTGTTTGGCACACAGTCTGGATCCACACATATATGAAGTACAAAATTGATCCCGTTAGAGTTACCGGTTTCTGACCGCTGCCCAACCTAATTAATGCCTATGGGTGCAAAATAATGTAGCTGATTGTCGTAAAGCATTGCGCTCTTGCGTCGTCCCTTCTCTAATCAGATTGAGTTTACCTACCTACTCTATCTTTTTGTTGCTATAGTTCTCGTAGCTTTAAGATCTATCATTTACTCTTTCATTATTTGACCAACAATCAAGACCGTCACATGCCGATACAGTGTTGTAAAAAATAAAAGATTCAAACGTGCTTCGATGATCAGTTTCAGATTGGGGCCAATATAGGCAAGGTGGTTGTACAAATCGCTTATGAGCACAAAGTGTTGTGGTCCATAGCTGAATGACTACCACATCATCTATCACCAGGTAATGTTAACGAACCGCTTCCAATGGGTTTTCTGACATCCTTTAGACCATTTTGAACGTGTTATATTCCACCTGGTGTTCGGTTTATTTATAGTGCATCACTATTGCGCTTGCTACAGTCTTTCAAACTCCCTCATCATCGTCATCACTGCACTAAAGCAAACTTCGCTGATCACGACCAAGCACGCTATGCGTACGAAATAAGTTCAGTGATGTGGGTAGAGATTGGGGCTGTTTAAGGGGGATGATAGAGAGACTAAAAAGATGTAAACGACTGTGATCAACACTGATTGCATTGTCCAGCTAATCCGATAAAAGATGGCAACAGGAACGCCACTGTTGTCGGTTACGCATCATCTCATCTGGTGTCTAACCAGCCAGTTGTGGGGCTTTTTTAAACTCTACCTCAGAACGAAATAGACACCTACGATGTCTAATATCTCTGTGCAGTTTTTTGTCTTATCTTCACTTCCCTACGTGTTTTGCTTCCCCCTAAAGCGACAACTGCAAACAACAAGGGGCAGTAGACAAATACTAGCTCCTGGTGTGCAACATGTCCTAACCCGTTTCATCACGATGAGACTACACTTTAATGTGCCGCGGTGGTTTGCGTGCCTCCGTAGTTATGTGTTTTATACAGAATGGCAGAGGTCCTACAGAGCTCAACCTCGCAACACCAGCCGATTAAGCGTTAGCTGGTTTTCTCTTTGACCATCCATAATTGCTGCCCTTTGAGAGGCCAGTCCTGCAAAGAAACAGCAGTCTACCAATCAGAGAAACCCATCCAATAGACGCAGTCAAATAGCGCCGATCATACTGTCATCGGCTATCGCTGGTATGGATTCATCAAGATTGTCACATTTACTGGTCAGCGCATATAGACACAAACCATACTGCAGCACGAGCTAGCTTCTGTTACTGTCTTATTAAAGCCGTCAGTACCAGGTTTCCACAGTGTAGTAAAAGTGACAACCACAAATTGGCTTTCAAATAGAAGGTTTGTCGTCCCCTCTCATCGAACAACTCAATAAACATTGACAGCTCGTGAAAGAAGTTTGATTTGGATAATTCTGGTTATATTGATAAAAACCACCATCTTTTCCGTCGGATCACGAATACCAACCCACGAAAATTGAGCGTAAATCAGTTTAGGTTTTCGATAGTTAACTTATTCACATTCGCCTACGCATTCTGGCTTGATAGTCAGCAAAATTTAAGGCACAGCTCAAATGGATTCCCGTAACCTTCAATTTGCCCACCAGTATGCTTCACCTGGGCAACTTCTACCTGTCCTGAAATGGAAGTTACTCGGAAGATAAGATACCAGTGGTTTAGAGTCCCTATGGGTTATATCCATCCACCTTTATTTGTGGGGGAATTGACCTTCGTCTTGTAGTTGACGAAACTCCTGGGTTCAGTATGGTAAAGTGAATGGGCTCCGACTGAATAGTGTGAATCAGTAATCTCATCGATTTGCAAGAAAGGGGACAAATCCGCTGGTGAAAACCACAGGAGACTGACCTTGATCAGCATCGTCTGTAAGCTTATCACCGGTGTTATACTCCGAAGCTGTCTTCCACACGAGCACGGTGCGCTCGTGAAAACCAAGATGGTTTCCAACCTAATTGAGTTTGAATCGATCATGTTTTCAGCCTCAGCTAAATCCTGGAACCCAGACATTCTTCCTGCAGATCAATCAATTCTATCTCACTTTTTCTAAAAACAGTTTCCGACAGTCGATTCTGACGCTGCCCATTCTTCTCGGGTCTACCAAAGAAGTTTACTTCTCTGTATCAATTTCTGTACACTAATAACCAAAGCCGAAATCGAGGTTACAGCTCTTTCTGGCCTGAGTTCATGGAAAACGGTGCCCACTAGAGTTTCCCCCTTTCTCTTCAACTTTGTGGTAGATATTATTCCGAAAACGTTCCCGTTCTCATGCGAGGACTGTGGCTTCGAAATACTCCAATGTGATAGGTTATCTGACCTGGAGTAAGTACACAGTGGACAGCTTGCAGCTGATTAAAGACCTATACAAGTTGAAAACCTTTTCAGAGGGCGTGATTTTTAATGTAGTCGACTCCGGGATGTTTTGTGAAATGCTCGTTAACTCATTGTCATCTTTCTTCCTTATTCGGTAGGTATCACCCATTTTTGTTTCATTTCTGCTTAATATTACTTTTGCGATGATTTCATTATTTGCTTCATGGTTCGCGGTATGGACTGGTATGAAGTATATAGGTACGAAACCGTTTCCTAAGGTGAGGTCAATTTGACAAGTGTTTTTCTGATCACCTACACCTCTTTCAGCCTCACCTTCGCCGTCTTCAGCTGGCAGCCCGAGCGCAAGTAACGTATCCAACACTAAATTGTCCGGTGCATCCTCCAATCCGAACACTGCACCGAAGGCGAGCACAAGTTCCTCTAAGTCCGATCCACCACCGACTGTAGCGGCCGGTTCCAAATCAAGCTCGAAACCAAACACTGCAAATAAACCGTCTACATGTGATGCGTCAACTTCCGGTCAAGATTCGAAACCTGAGAATACCGGTTCGCGTCGTGGTCCCCTAACCGGTGTGGTTTTCTCTCTAAGTGGTTACCAAAATCCATTGCGTAGCGAATTACGTAAGAAAGCGTTAGATTTGGGTGCTCGATTTCGCCAAGATTGGGGAAAGGACTGTACACATCTGATGTGAGTAACGAAGTTTAATAACTTTGGAGCAGTATATTACTGTTATTTTCTCTAACGATATCATGGTCACCAATTTTTCAATTTCTAGGAAACCGGACATTCCTGCAGTTTCATGGTTAACTTAGATGAACCTCTTTTAGAGTTTTGGGAAGTCAATTATACACAAAGATGTCCCTCAGTGACCTAGGTTAGACGACAGCTTCGATTTACGATATTTTTGTTAGTTCCTGAGGAATAAGATCCATTTAATTTACATACGCATTTGCACTCACCGCTGATTTTGTTGAAATATTCCACTGGCATGCATTAATGCAGTTGGTTCCGGATTACGGTTCTCACAGGTTTGATAAAGTTTCCAACTGATGACCCTAGCCTTTTTGATACATGATATAAATTAAGGTATGAACCCTCGTGTGGAAGCCATCGAGGGNCGAGGGTTTAGTTAGACCTTTATGGTTTTTAAGCTGTTCATTATCACCATTCTTTATTGGCCGTCTGCCGCAATCGAACACTAGATGCGAGAATTCAGTTGGATTTCGATTTATTGAAGAGAACGCACCTGGTCCTGACTTTGATATAGCAATAGTTACTCGTCGAGTCATGCTCACTATCACCCAACTAATCTAAACTTGTCCCATTCCTCTTTCAAGGCAGTCTTTGATTCGCCGAAAATGTCACCTTTTATCAGCTCTCCTAAACTGATCTAAAAAGTTTGATTAGATTGAGACCGGATGACCACGGTGGCCTCGGGAACGTCTTTGTACCCTAATGTGCTTGAAGCTAGCATCCAATAAGGTCATGTACTTTTTCGTCCCTGGATATCCTTTTAGTAGTTGTAGTCAATAGGGGAAAGATGTGTCGGCTCAGGACTTCAAGAAAAGCTTAACCATTAACGATGCCTTTGTGGATACCAACACGTTCACACTATATGGCTCTGATTCTCCGCTGTGTTGCATTCTTCCTGTTATCAGTTTCAAAGATATTTTTCCAACCGCGTTCCCGATGGTTATATTTGAATGAAAGGAATACACACTCGTCAATCAGTCAAGACATGCGTGCACTTTATTTATCCATTGTAGACAGATTTTTCAGTGAAAAATCTTATCACTTCTGCTTTGGCATACAGGCTATTAAAATAGATTGAAAGATATAACATTTAGTGAATTGAGAATAATGATGTGTAGCGAGAACTCGTAGCAAAAGTAAAAAATTGCAGCATGAAAATTTAAGTGAGATTGTGTACCGACTCGTTTGATATTTATCCCCTGGATACCAATAAACGAGAAGCAGAAGGTAAAACGGAATTTTTATAACTGTGGTATGATGGTCTGAATTTTTTTGCGCATGACAGGAGCGGAAATGGAGCGAGAGAGGATTGAGTATAAAGGATGTGATGCATCAAACAAGATTGAGTCACACCGACAGTCACATACCTTAAGGTTTTACTTGACAATTGAATCGATCAGCGCTACATAAGAGACAGCTCTATATCTAAAGATGCTTTTCAGATACAAAATCCTTAGATAATAGACCGGGGGAAGGATAACGGAGGAGGAATAGGTCCAATGGTATAAAACGCACGAGAAAATAAATTTAAAAATTACACACGACTGATCCAAATAATCGATTTATAATGTTCGCACTTTCACACATATTGATCAATTCAAACCACCTGGAATCATCTTTATGTGATCTCCGAGTCCCTGAATGTCATCACTTACCGTTTTAAACCGATCCATATTGAAGAGCCAAAACCATCGATAAGCCTAATGCGTGACGTAGCGATTACACATCGTTTGACCTTCATTTTCTTTGAGTATCACTTGAACTTGAAAGAACAAATGAATGTGTTTTTTCTTGAATTAAGAAACACTTTTCCTACTTAAAAAATCTCATGGTTTTTACTCATACAACAGTAAACTGTATATAGACTGAAATATTCTGAACTAACGACGTGGATCCACAGGATTGTAGATAATTTACGGGAGGAGGTCTTTGGCAAACCATATATTTGTATCAATTATTACTGATTGTTCGACAAACCGTAGAGCATCTGAATTCCCTAGGTGGACCCCAATATCTCAGGTGCGACTGGCGATTCAATCTACCGCATTGATTTCGTTTTTGTCGGTGAAATGCATTCATATTATTTGCTCATGATACACGAGAGTAACTGAGGTCAATCACATACTTACGGTAGTGTTTTGCACAATGAATAATGTCTTCTTTTTCTGTTCAACTTTGTTGGAGATGAGTTAAACATTTTGTATACGGTAAGCTCTCCTTTTTGTGGAAGTCCAAACCCTGGAAGGTTTCAAGTTGTTCCGAATGGGTTGAATGATACCTCGTGGTGGTACGTATACGTTCTGCACTTTCAAAGTATGCTAAAATTAATGTTATGAGATTGAAATACCCCAACTCACAGTTATTGTAATGCTTCCGTCGACCGAGGTGTTTGCTACGTGTTACAACTATCTCCTTTCTAATTCCTAGTCGGGGCATTACTTGCAGCTCGTCCGACCTAAGAACCCCTGAACTAATGCAATGGAACAATGTTTATGGAACAGAAGGATTTTTTTATGATAAAATTTTCTGACGTTTATGGGTAAACTGGGAGGACGTAAATCATACCAATAACTATCGATTCGCCTCTTTTAACTTCACTCTCATGGGTAACTATCGAGCTGCAGACCAGTCATCTAACCGAAGTCAAACATCAGTATTGTTTGTGTTGAGATTGGGTGTCACATTTTGCTTTGCACAATGAATAGAGACTTTCTCATCATTTAGTAGTCTCTGACAGCAACTAGACACACTATACCAGCCACGGCCTACAGTAGAATAACCATATCTTTCCGGCACAACTATATCGCACCACGTCTAAAATTTACGGGGGGCTGTCACGTGCATTCCTAGTCTGTTTTTAGTCAAATGAAGAAGTGTGTTCAACACGGGGCCATATTCAAAATAAATATTTAAATGAAGGCATCCATCTTTCTCAGGTATATCAGTGAATCAATTTGAGATAGATGAATTCTGTGAATAAATTAACACGAATTCGTAACGGAATGTGAGATAATCAGCACTGAGATGACAAAAACAATTGTCCAGTGCGTATAAATCGGTGACAATTCTAGACTTACTTTTGATCCTTTTAATGAATCGTAGACGATTTGATGTTCGTGGAACCAGTTACAATATGTGGCGCTTGCGAACAACTGAACGATCAAAAAAGGATGGGTCGTGTTGTGGTTTACTTACTGTCACCAGTGTCCTTTGGACCCTATCGTTCGAGGTTCAAACCCGGCCACCCAACTTTGGTGGTAGGCAGCTTTGCTGTCGTTCGATTCAATACTACATCTAGCCTTGTGGAACCTTATATGGTTCGCCACTCTAAATCCCGGGGCTTAGGTTGCCAGTTTCCCAACATGGATCAGCGGGTCTTCGCGACTATGGACTCCACCCTGTCTGCTGTTCATTACGCGAATGTGTTTAATGAAAAAATGGGACTTGGCTGTCAAACAAAGGTGAAAATCTGAATGTTGCATGTTGTTCTGCGAGGGATTTGCTACATTCTCGGTCCTACGTCAAACTGATTACTAAGATCTCGAACAGATTCCTTGAGGAGTTTGCTTCGAAATTGATGACTGAACCACTAGATGCTAAAGTACTGTTTCCCTTCGACAGTGCTCCGGTCCACCTACGAGCGGGTGAAGCACTACTGGCAATGGGACAATCTAGTATGATGGCTTTGTTCGATCGTTTCGAACCCTTCACGCGCTAGTCGTACTCGTTGCTTGACCAGGCTTAGGTTCACTTTATGCTTTATTCTCAATTCAGGGTCAGTGGGTATCTTACCCCACTGTGTGTGTTCACCTGCCTCGGGGATGTCTGATGCACCGCCCGGTGTTCATTTAAGTGGGTCCCTACCTTAGGTTATCTCAAACACCACAGGGATAGGCCCGAGTTTTAGAGTCTAGTTTCCTTCCCACAGCCTAACTCCGTGGTGCTTAGCATCCGGTATTCTGGGTAGGATCCACACCAGTATGAAAACATTGTGCACATACCTGTGTTCCGCTACTCTTTCTGCTTCAGTATCGCAAAGCTTTGGTTCCGCAAGGTTGTGAACCAAGATAGTTTCAGCTAACCCGTTTAATATGTGCTAGTGTTCCTCTATTAGAGCTGCGCAGTGAGCTCAGACTCACATAAGATCTCTATGTTTAAGCTGTGGCGTGTGGCATTGCTTCAGCGTCTGAAAACACCTTTGCTGGTACCATATCTGTCGTAATATATATATATATATATATATATATATATATATACTGGCTTGACACATCCATTGACTCCGCATATGTCCGGGTGGTTAACTATGCTTAGTTTGCAAAACTCAATATCTCAGGAGATTACCGAAAACGGCACTGGGAAAATCCCACAAGAAAACGAACCTTCAACTATGAGGCTGGCACAAATAAAAATCTCAGTGGTACAAAAAGCTATCTACGTTTTTAAAATAGCCGACCGATTTATGCGATCTCCATAGTACAACATATCTACTGATACTTCATACTTTACACTACTATTTCCTTTGAGAGCGCAGTCCTTGTAAAGTAACGCACTGAAAACCGATAATGAAAACAAAGATTTTGGTGTAAATGATGTGAAGTATCTATTGTCATTTCACCAGTAACGGATGAAAATTTGAAATTTTATGTAATTTGTAATTTTCAAAACACGGCGATGTCGGTACAGGTGGAACTAAGCCGATGTTTCGGTTATCGTGGCTAACCTTTATCAAGGGCTCATCGATTTTTCGATGCACTCCGAACCTCGTTCGGATCTATGAAAATTTTAAAAGTTCAAATTGCACGTGAACACATCCGCTTGATAGTCATTGTCCAACTGCGTAAGATGTGACATCGTCTAGTGATTGGTCAAAGATTTTTACATGTTCTATAGAGTTTTCTGTTTACAAGAGGCATTCTTCCTAGCTTATCTGCTTTCCCACTGGTGCGCACATGCTGCGTGAGGTTCCTCGTCCTCGATAACTTAGGTTCCATGAAAACAAAACGTCAAACAGACATTGTTTTGTATATTTTGATCATGTACCGCAACACATATTTCTCAATTCCGTTACTCCTATCTTATACAGCTGCGCCTTTGCCACTACTCCAAAATTCAAGGAAGTTGTAGGCAAAGGGATTATTGTATCAGAAAAGTGGATTGAAAAATGTTACGATACAAAATCCAAAGTTGACTGGCGCCCATTTCGTGTTGGTCGTGCGCCTAGTCCACCATCATCAAGCAGTAGTAAAAAGGCGACTACAGAAGAAGAGAGAGATTCTGACTCGAGTTCCGAGTAAGTCCCGATTTGTTCCACTTACATCTTTTTAACCTGCCTGTATGGGAAAAACGGTGGCCTTGTATTGAACTCATTCGTAGTGTTACTACTCGTAAGTAGCATGAATGCTTTATGCAATGAAATCACACCCTAAGTCTCTACATCGCACGAAATGCTCACAGTCCGTTACGAGCTTGTGTCCAATCGGTCGATCTTGCGTCTACTTTCAAAGCACCCAACAGAACTCATCGCTCAACTTACTTCATAGGCCTTTAACCGAATTTACACGCTTCATCTTCGTTGGTTTAAAACCAACGTTTGCCAACTTCCCTAAACTAGCTGGGTGCTAATGGTTCATCAATTCGGTCAGCCTCGCACATAGGCCCCTCAGAATCTCACATCATCGATATTACCCTCACCATGAAAAGACAAATTGTATGGCTCCCTCATCATATGTTTAGAGGCGTATTACGAGAAAAGCAAAATTGGGCAAAATTTGTCTACCGATCATAGGGGTCATTTGGTGACGGGTACAGCAAATTGAAATCCATGGTTGTTAGTTTTCGAAAATGCCAAGTCAGTTTGTTGAGACGAGCAGATTAAATAGCTTAAGGTTATCGCATGTTTCGTATAAAAGTGCCTAATTTTAAGGGCTGTGTTGTTACATATACAGGTGCTGCCTATTCTCTCTTTGACGTTCTCAACGTTTTTAACATCTCTTTCAGGACCCCTGAAATACCTCGTTCTCAAACAAAATTAAGTAAGTCTGGACGTGCATCCCGCCCTGATGTTACATTTCCTACTAGTTTTTCACGTATCTCCAGTATTTTTTATCCGCCTTTGATACGTTTTAGAAACCAAGTTTGTACCAGCCAACTTTTCTTAGCACACCTTTAGAAAATTCCTATTCATGGCTCATTGCACTATCGCTTCGCTAAATAGTCTTGATTGATTCTAATATAGAAAAAGTGAGTTGTAAGATTCGGTCTGAATTGATGTCTACATCATCCTTAAAGCAGCAATCGATTCAGCTTTATGGGGTAGTTCTCTTGTTGATCGAGTTGAAGAACCCTTATCTGTCTTTTCCCTAGTGATTAGTGGTGGTCAAGCGATAAAGATCAACTGATAGTAGCTCCAGAGGACGCGCATTCCGGTCCCCCCCCCCCGTTTTTGTGCGTGATACAGCAGCCATCTGTTTAGCCCCTTTCTGAAAATGTTCAGGCTAAATGATAGGAAATAGAATAAAAGTTATAAAATATAAAATCTCCTGTATTTACTCGTCCATATAGTCCTAATTCTGGGTCAGTCAGTGTGTAGAAACATATTTAACTGTTCGAATATAGCACTTGCTACCCTTTGCAATCAACCTATTGGGAGTGGAGGGTGCATGATTTTCCAAATGAAGGGAGCACTCTTCTTTTAGCTCGTTTCACCGTCGGTATGTATTTTAGCTGAATATAGTTTGCAAACTGAGAACTTACTGCGATAGGACGGGACATTTCAGCTACATGTTGCTTTGCCCTGCTCTCTAAATCAAATCCATATTTCCTGCGGACATATTTTCGTTTACCCAGAGCGACGCAGCCACGGAAAATCAAACAACACTGACGACGAATGGTTACCAGACGCAGAGGGGTCAGATCCTGGAGATTCCGAAGAATCAGATGAGGGGAGCGATTACGAAGCGGAGGAGGATGAGGAGGAGAACGATTCGTCCGAAGAGGAGGAGGAGGAGGATGAAGAGGAAGAAAAGAAGGGTAAACGTGGAAAACGCAAACGAAAGACAAAATCTGGTGGATCAAAAAAGAGTAAAGTTGTGCATAAGAATGCCACACCCAATCCGTCGAGTAAGTAGGTTTTCCCACTCCGCAATAATGTTTTCATTCATATTCCTTGTTCTCTTCTGCGAACCATCTTCGGAATTATCTCAGTACTTGCTCACCCTTATTAGTGACAATTGTCATGATTTGAGTTTTCAGATATGAAAAATCAACCAGTAAACAAATTCACGCCAAACACTTACACGTTTTAGCGCTGTGTATAAACAAAGTGAATCATTCCGATTGGTATCCCGATGGCTGAGCTCTGGTAGCAGGTTAACCTGTTGCCTAGAATATCTTGGATTTGATTGCTTTTTCAATACAATGCTGACATCCAACAGTGCTCAAAAAGTTGAGCTAACGCTGTATCCCCGGCCTCCTCATTCCGGGGCACAGAGAATTACCTTCCTGAATCGAAACTGAAATATGGTATTATTAGTAGTATTATCGTACTCCCCATGATTCTGAGTCCAGAATGTACTAAACGAATCACGGTAGAATAATCTTTATAACAACTAAATCAGTTCATGTTTTACTCGTGGGTGGAATGCCGCCAGGTTTCTCCAAACCAAAGCAGATGTATTCTCTTTGGAAATCCAAAACCTAACTGGCATAGCAACGGGGTGATGTGTGAGAGTCTCAGTCTATTTGAGACCGGTGTTCAGTTCGTCGGATCATACATCCTTGGATGGGGTGAAATGTTTACTTTACATTATACATCTCGATGCCCAATCAAGTCGGTAACCATACCACACTGCCGGTGTCGATGTAGTTCGCACTCTTCTTTTTGGTTGGTTCTAAATCAGAGTGTTTATCCGACTCCTCTAGGTTCACCGATCAGGTTTCAGCCTCCGATTTAGGCCTTTTGTTCACTCACTTTTGTGGAAAAACCTCTCCGCCACGTATATCCCTTCTAATACCCGAGTATGCGGTCATGCTTCTCTGGTACACCTTCACTCTAATCTCGATCTCAAGCTGCTATCGGGTTTGATGAAACCGTCCATGAAGTAGATTTTCCGAATTTCCACTTATTCTAAAGGTCGAGACATAAAAAACTTCAGTGAATTCACTGTACCGTTGACAAACTACCTTGCTCTTTTTTATGGAGTCATCAGTCCAGTGATCATAGAGTCCTCGAGTGCCACATTTGATCTTCCGCAATTATTCATTTAATCGACTACAAGAGCGGTTCTTTTTCCGACTGCGCGACGAGTTTTCAATTCGACATGCTGGCCAAAATAGTTATCCGGGTCCTTTCATTCACGTCAAAAAAACCGACGAACATACTAGACATCACCAGACTCCCTGGTGCATAGCTCAACGGGACCGTACTGCTACTCTTTCAACATTCCTCTGGACTGAGGTTGTAACTAGTTCCCACCGAATGCGCTGTGACAGTGTTCTCGCTAAGTGTATTGGTTTAGTTCTGTTTACCCTGCCTGTCTGTAATCTGAATGGAAATGATTTATCAAACCAAGCTACTTGAACACTTAGTCACTGGATTGAATCAGTAAACCATACAATGTTTATTATTTGTTACTTCACAATAAAATCAAGCGTTTCCGGTTGACTACTCACTCATACACGCATGTCCGTGTGAGAGTCACTCGGTTTCAGGTTTGGTGAAATGCATCAGAGGAGAGTTTTGAAAGGCCAGCTAAGATTGCAATCAGTTTGTTCTGAAATAAAGATAAAAATCGTTGTTCAGCGGTCATTCAAGTATCAGAGCACTTCCTCGTTCTCGGTCGTCGTCATTATAACCACCAAACATGATGTATTGTATACTGAATATGCTTCATTCTACTCTGCATTTGTTGAACTACCAGATATATTCTACATTCCACATCCTGTGGTCACAATACACATTCGCTGAACAATCCGAGCACAAACATGATTCATATTCATGTGTCTTTCATCCTGTCGGTCGGTTGCGAGATCTGCTTTGTGCATGCTGTGAACCGGGCGCTTGTATCTTGTTTTTTTTCTTATTAGCCTTTGTGAATCACGTATGTGTGTCATACGGAACGGCGTCTTTTCATGTNTTCATGTGTGCCCATACCCCTTGATAGTCCCATTTTCTCCAACGGTGAGTAAGGCCTCGTTCTCGACCCAGAAAGTGCTTTCGTGGATTTGGTCCCTTCTGTGGAGAATCTTCCCGTTGCATTCTCATATTAATTCTTTTCACTAATGGGGTGGGACGAAATATCAATATCTAGGCTTATAGCCTGGTTGATAAACCAAGATCAACTAACTTCTCTAGGATGATGGATAAACTTTGATTGCAAGCTGCCAGAAAAAAAGGTGTATGAGCTGGCTCCAGGAGAAGCTGGTCGCAACGGTCACTGACTCAGTCGGGTGATTAGGCATATTGGGCACCTGGAAGTGCGAACCACACTGGAAGAATGTATGATCCCACCGAATGAACACCGGCCCCAATGGATTGTAGTCCTAACGGACCGTCCAGTTGCTTTTCCAATCAGATCTTAAGCTAGCCGAAGAATTCAGTTGTGGGACCCCAAGAGTTTCGCTCATTTTGGTTTTCAAAACCTGAAAGTATTTCGCCAAAAAACGAATCACGGATTGATGTAATTGTAAGAAAGCAT